GGAGACAAGAGAGGAGACAAGAGGGGCCAGGTGGAGACAAGAGGGGCCAAGTGGAGACAAGAGGGGCCAAGTGGAGACAAGAGGGGCCAAGTGGAGACAAGAGGGGCCAAGTGGAGACAAGAGGGGCCAAGTGGAGACAAGAGAGGAGACAAGAGGGACCAGGTGGAGACAAGAGAGGAGACAAGAGGGACCAGGTGGAGACAAGAGAGACCAGGAGGAGACAAGAGAGACCAGGAGGAGACAAGAGAGACCAGGAGGAGACAAGAGGGGCCAAGTGGAGACAAGAGGGGCCAGGTGGAGACAAGAGGGGCCAGGTGGAGACAAGAGGGGCCAGGTGGAGACAAGAGAGGAGACAAGAGGGGCCAGGTGGAGACAAGAGGGGCCAGGTGGAGACAAGAGAGGAGACAAGAGGGGCCAGGTGGAGACAAGAGAGGAGACAAGAGGGGCCAAGTGGAGACAAGAGGGGCCAGGTGGAGACAAGAGGGGCCAGGTGGAGACAAGAGGGGCCAGGTGGAGACAAGAGAGGAGACAAGAGGGGCCAGGTGGAGACAAGAGAGGAGACAAGAGGGGCCAGGTGGAGACAAGAGAGGAGACAAGAGGGGCCAGGTGGAGACAAGAGGGGCCAGGTGGAGACAAGAGAGGAGACAAGAGGGGCCAAGTGGAGACAAGAGGGGCCAGGTGGAGACAAGAGGGGCCAGGTGGAGACAAGAGAGGAGACAAGAGGGGCCAGGTGGAGACAAGAGAGGAGACAAGAAGGACCAGGTGGAGACAAGAGAGGAGACAAGAGGGGGACAAGAGGGGCCAGGTGGAGACAAGAGAGGAGACAAGAGGGGCCAGGTGGAGACAAGAGAGGAGACAAGAGGGGCCAGGTGGAGACAAGAGGGGCCAAGTGGAGACAAGAGAGGAGACAAGAGGGGCCAAGTGGAGACAAGAGGGGCCAAGTGGAGACAAGAGGGGCCAGGTGGAGACAAGAGGGGCCAGGAGGAGACAAGAGGGGCCAGGTGGAGACAAGAGGGGAGACAAGAGGGGCCAGGTGGAGACAAGAGGGGCCAGGAGGAGACAAGAGGGAGACAAGAGAGGAGACAAGAGAGGAGACAAGAGAGGAGACAAGAGGGGCCAGGTGGAGACAAGAGGGGCCAAGTGGAGACAAGAGGGGCCAAGTGGAGACAAGAGAGGAGACAAGAGGGGCCAGGTGGAGACAAGAGAGACCAGGAGGAGACAAGAGGGGCCAAGTGGAGACAAGAGAGGAGACAAGAGGGGAGACAAGAAGGGCCAAGTGGAGACAAGAGGGGCCAGGTGGAGACAAGAGGGGAGACAAGAGGGGCCAGGTGGAGACAAGAGGGGAGACAAGAGGGGCCAGGTGGAGACAAGAGGGGAGACAAGAGGGGCCAGGTGGAGACAAGAGAGGAGACAAGAGGGGCCAGGTGGAGACAAGAGGGGCCAAGTGGAGACAAGAGGGGCCAAGTGGAGACAAGAGAGGAGACAAGAGGGACCAGGAGGAGACAAGAGAGACCAGGAGGAGACAAGAGAGACCAGGAGGAGACAAGAGAGACCAGGAGGAGACAAGAGGGGCCAAGTGGAGACAAGAGGGGCCAGGTGGAGACAAGAGGGGCCAAGTGGAGACAAGAGGGGCCAAGTGGAGACAAGAGGGGCCAGGTGGAGACAAGAGGGGCCAGGTGGAGACAAGAGAGGAGACAAGAGGGGCCAGGTGGAGACAAGAGGGGCCAGGTGGAGACAAGAGGGGCCAGGTGGAGACAAGAGGGGCCAGGTGGAGACAAGAGGGGCCAGGTGGAGACAAGAGAGGAGACAAGAGGAGACAAGAGAGGAGACAAGAGGGGCCAAGTGGAGACAAGAGGGGCCAGGTGGAGACAAGAGAGGAGACAAGAGGGGCCAGGTGGAGACAAGAGAGGAGACAAGAGGGGCCAGGTGGAGACAAGAGGGGCCAGGTGGAGACAAGAGGGGCCAGGTGGAGACAAGAGAGGAGACAAGAGGGGCCAAGTGGAGACAAGAGGGGCCAGGTGGAGACAAGAGAGGAGACAAGAGGGGCCAGGTGGAGACAAGAGAGGAGACAAGAGGGGCCAGGTGGAGACAAGAGAGGAGACAAGAGGGGCCAGGTGGAGACAAGAGGGGCCAGGTGGAGACAAGAGAGGAGACAAGAGGGGCCAGGTGGAGACAAGAGAGGAGACAAGAGGGGCCAGGTGGAGACAAGAGAGGAGACAAGAGGGGCCAGGTGGAGACAAGAGAGGAGACAAGAGGGGCCAGGTGGAGACAAGAGGGGCCAGGTGGAGACAAGAGAGCAGACAAGAGGGGCCAAGTGGAGACAAGAGAGCAGACAAGAGGGGCCAAGTGGAGACAAGAGAGCAGACAAGAGGGGCCAAGTGGAGACAAGAGGGGCCAGGTGGAGACAAGAGGGGCCAGGTGGAGACAAGAGGGCCAGGTGGAGACAAGAGGGGCCAGGTGGAGACAAGAGGGGAGACAAGAGGGGCCAGGTGGAGACAAGAGGGGCCAGGTGGAGACAAGAGGGGCCAGGTGGAGACAAGAGGGGCCAGGTGGAGACAAGAGAGGAGACAAGAGGGGCCAGGTGGAGACAAGAGAGGAGACAAGAGGGGCCAGGTGGAGACAAGAGGGGCCAGGTGGAGACAAGAGAGGAGACAAGAGGGGCCAGGTGGAGACAAGAGGGGCCAGGTGGAGACAAGAGGGGCCAGGTGGAGACAAGAGAGCAGACAAGAGGGGCCAAGTGGAGACAAGAGAGCAGACAAGAGGGGCCAAGTGGAGACAAGAGAGCAGACAAGAGGGGCCAAGTGGAGACAAGAGGGGCCAGGTGGAGACAAGAGGGGCCAAGTGGAGACAAGAGGGGCCAGGTGGAGACAAGAGGGGCCAGGTGGAGACAAGAGGGGAGACAAGAGGGGCCAAGTGGAGACAAGAGGGGAGACAAGAGAGGAGACAAGAGGGGCCAGGTGGAGACAAGAGGGGCCAAGTGGAGACAAGAGGGGCCAAGTGGAGACAAGAGGGGCCAAGTGGAGACAAGAGGGGAGACAAGAGGGGAGACAAGAGGGGAGACAAGAGGGGAGACAAGAGGGGCCAAGTGGAGACAAGAGGGGAGACAAGAGGGGAGACAAGAGGGGAGACAAGAGGGGCCAGGTGGAGACAAGAGGGGAGACAAGAGGGGCCAGGTGGAGACAAGAGGGGAGACAAGAGGGGCCAGGTGGAGACAAGAGGGGAGACAAGAGGGGCCAGGTGGAGACAAGAGGGGAGACAAGAGGAGCCAGGTGGAGACAAGAGGGGAGACAAGGGGAGACAAGAGGAGCCAGGTGGAGACAAGAGGGGAGACAAGAGGGGCCAGGTGGAGACAAGAGGGGAGACAAGAGGGGCCAGGTGGAGACAAGAGGGGCCAAGAGGAGACAAGAGGGGCCAAGAGGGGAAAGCTGGGGGGACAGGAGGAGACAGGTAGAGACAGGTGGGGACAAGAGAGGAGTCAAGAAGGACCAGGTGGAGACAAGAGAGGAGTCAAGAAGGACCAGGTGGAGACAAGAGAGGAGACAAGAGGGACCAGGTGGAGACAAGAGAGGAGACAAGAGGGACCAGGTGGAGACAAGAGAGGAGTCAAGAAGGACCAGGAGGAGACAAGAGGGGCCAGGTGGAGACAAGAGGGGAGACAAGAGGAGACAGGTGGAGACAAGAGGGGCCAAGAGGAGACAGGTGGGGCCAGGAGGGGAAAGCTGGGGGGACAGGAGGAGACAGGTAGAGACAGGTGGGGACAGACCAGCAGCGTGACGACTGTGCTGGAGTAATACGCCAGGTCCTCGATGATCTCTGTCCTGCGATTTGCTCCGATCCGTAGAGATCGGCTGTGGACCTCCTCGGGCAGCACGGTGAGAATCTCTATGAGGAAGGGCATCGAGCTGATGTCGTTGTTGTACCTGAGAGGGGGCGGAGACACGGACAGGTGAGAAACTGACAGACAGCTCAAAGGTCAAAAGGTGTTGAACAGGGCTCACCTGAGCGCCAGTCAGAGGCTCTTCCTCCGTCTACACTGAACGACTCACCTGCTTCCTGCTGGCTGATCCGGGGGCCACATTTGTAGTTTCTGTCTACAGTCAACACTCTGTGTGAGAAAGGTTCGGGTGGTTGTGTGAATTCTTACTTTTCTATGAGCGTGTGAACACATCCTTTCCACGACGCCATCTGCAGGGCGAGGTCAGCGATCGCTAACGCCAGCTGAGGAGCGGGAGGGAGAAGAGAAAGGGTTAAAGTTCACAGCAGGGTCAGGTGGTTTCAGGAGGGTCAGGTGGTTTCAGGAGGGTCAGGTGGTTTCAGGAGGGTCAGGTGGTTTCAGGAGGGTCAGGTTTCTTCCGCTGTGTTAAAAACAGCAGCTGACAGTTTGCTTCTGTCGACACGAGGAAGTGATGCAGTCGGCTGTCGACACTCGTCAGGTTGCGAAACATTACAACACAAGTTCTCAG